GGGGCCTAGCCAAGCCCTCAGAACACATTTTTGGATGGGATACCGCGTAAACACCTCTGCGGTTGTTCAGTTTCTTCATTTCACTGCCAATGCAAAATGTAGTTTATTTTTATATCCACCCAGTTTCCTCGTGCGCATGGTGTTCCTAGGGTTTATGCCTTTCAAAAACAAAACAAATACACACACAAGAAGAGGAAAGAACGCTCCTACTTTTACTCCTATATCACTGTCTCTACATGCTCCACAAAGGAAATGACAAACAGCTCATGTTTATAAATACCCACAGGTTATAAACATAAGGAAGCAGTGTATTGACCTTAAGCATCCTCTGCTACCAACATGAGAGTAAAAGTGATACTGAAGTAAACGAACTCTTCAATACAGTCAATGGCGTTTAGGGGGGTAGAGATGAAGAGAAAGCAAAGAAACATTTTTACAAGAGGGTATTCCCCTACACGTGTCTTTTGTTAAAGCAACCTCAAGCTTCTACAACCCTAGGAATCTAGTTCAGAATAAATTCAATCTGAAGTACCTTTATGAATATTAACACATAGGTTTGTATTATGCCAGAAAAGAGCTTTTTTTTTACATTTGCATCTTATGTAAAAACCCAAAAGTGACTACTAGTACTTCCATTTGAAATTTCATTTCTAAAAAAAGAAAACCACTTGTTTTTTACATAGCAGAAATAAATAATTCTTAATATTTTAAGATATTTCTCTTTAGAGCATATTTTGCAAATGTAATGCAAATGCCCTTGGAAAAATAAAGCAACACCAGTCTTAAAGTGTGCATACAAAACCTGTAAAAGTTGTCTGGAAGCATGATATAATACAATGTATATTTCATAAGACCATGTTCTAACAGAATTCTTTTTTATATATATAATCTGAACTCTTTTTAGTCAGGTATGCAGTGTTTCCTAAGAAAATGTTTATGGAGCAGATCTTTTTCTTTGCTAACTGACTTATGCAAACATTAGAATACTTGTAGTTACTAACTACATTAAAGAAATATACACCATGTTTCCATATTGCTATTCATTATTTGTTCAAGAATATTTATTGAGCATCCACAATATGCCAGACCCTGAGCAAGGAACTGGGAAATACAAAGTGAACAAAACTGAAATCCCTGCTCTGATAGAGACTTAATATCTAATAGAGGAGACAGATAATGAGAAATCGATAGGCCTTCTGATAGAGACTTAATATCTAATAGAGGAGACATAATGAGAAATCGATAGGCCTGAAGTGGTAAAGAATTATAAATTTACTAGAGGCCGGGTGCACAAAATTTGTATATGGGAGGGGAGGGGTCCCTCAGCCCAGCCTGAACCCTCTCAAAGCTAGGATGTTCAATCTTGGATATCCCTCTCACAATCCAGGATTACTGGCTCCTGACCACGCACTTGCCTGCCTGCCTGATCGCCCTAACTGCTCTCCCTGCTGGCCTGATTGCCCCTAACCACTTCTGCCTCAGCCCTGCCACCATGGCTTTGTTCAGAAGGATGTCTGGTCTAATTAGCATATTACCCTTTTATTAGTATAGATTAGGTCATCTGGGGACCAGATGGGCGGAGCCCCAAGAGGGCACCAGCACCCAGGGATGGGGAATTATTGGTTTTAAAGGACACTAGGTGGGCTTTTTTTGGTCTGGAACTCTGTGGATGGATGGGTCCTGATCCTGGGAAAGTCCGGAGGGGTAAGCTAATGGTCAGCAAGTGGAATAATGTGGTCTAAGTGAAAGGGAATGTCGGGTGTGAAGTGGTCTAAAGGTCAGTTCCCAGGGAAGGAGTTTCGATTCAATTATCTGATTGGACCTAACAGTATGCATAGAGTGGCCAGGGGAGGAGGAACATATAAAGTACACCACTGTGGAGCTATTTGTTGGGAGAGAGGAGTCAGGCAAAAGTTCTGAAAATTAAGTGAAATTCTCAAAGCAAATGATTAACTGGGGCGGGGCGGGGGGGCATTCTCCCTAAAAAATGACATATCCACAGCAATGCTCTCAAATAATTATTTTTTTTTAAATATATATCTTACAAAACAAGCTATACCTTGATGTGGTTCAAGATATGCTACCCTAAAATATGACAGCTTGGCATATTGAATATATTAAACTGAAGGAATTTGATGACAGAAAGAGAAATGTCACTATACCCGCTCCCACCTTCTTCCCCTCTTTCCCCCAAACAGGCCATAAAACTCCTAGATAGAAGGTACTCCCCCTATACCAGTAAGAAAGACATTCTTATCACCAGAGGGGATTTAGGGCTGAGAAGGCTGTATAAACAAACCTTATTGCACTAACCCTTGTCTTCCTAGATACTTCTTCACCACTTACTAACCCTAGCCCAAATACCTTTGTCTTGTCAATTCTTCACAAATTTGTTTCTTTGTTTAAAACAGTATAAAAGCTTCCTGCTCTGGTCA